AGAGCCGAAGCTCGAAGAGTGGGCGAGAGAGGGTCGAGACAGAAGGTGGGGAAAACGGCGAAGCCACAGTGACACGAATACAGAGCAATCTGAGTAGTTATCGGTGGAGGAAGGGCAGTCGGAGAGAGATTATCGAGTCGCTGGAAGATAAACAGTTAGCTCAGCGCAGAAAGCTATTGAAGAGAGGAATCTGCGCACCCGACGCGAAATTGGCTCGACAGAGACCGCGGAGCTAGAGCTCGAGCCAGACGAGCCAGAAGTGGACTCTGACGTCGAGGACAGAGAGGAGGAGGACGACGCAATTGCATTGAGAGACATGAAGGCGAAGAGGAAGGAACGAGTGAGGCCACGATTACTACATCGCGACCACCAGGAAAAAGCTAGAAGCCAGTGACAGGTGCGTCACACTTGTCACTCGACCCCAGCAAAAACTCTGTATCTCGCCCGCGCCGCCCTATGGGCACTACCATAACTACGTATCTGACTTCAAACCACCCGAAGCCTCGCCTCGTGGGCCCTTCTTCGTCGCCGAACGGTCAGTCTAACTCTTTCCCTTCCCTTCTTTTTCGCTCCCTCCTCACGCCTCGCTATGCAGTCGCTGCCAGAGCCTTCTACACCCAAAAAACCAGTCTCCTCTGTGGCTGGTGTCATCCCAAGCAAGCCTCACAAGCCCGCTTCACGTGGCGCGGCACGTAAGCTTTATCGTGGCTGCCGTCTCCAGCACTTGACCCATTCTCAAGAGAGCTTACTTTCGCCTACGAAACCACCTTCAAAAACCAAACCCAAGCCTTATCAGCGACCTAAGCCACGACCTCTTACCTACGAAGGTGCGTTACACATCCTAACGACAATAGAAATGGGCTGTATGAACCCTTTCTGCAGAAAAAACAGCGCAACCGAGAGGCCGCACTCAAAAGAATCGAACTCGCCGAACTCAACCTACAGTCGCTCGGGAAGCCAGGTTCGTCGCTCAGCTTATATCGTTGAAATGGAAACTGAAGCACACGAAGATCCAGAAAAGTCTCTCATTCGCGTCCCTATCGACGCTATGAATTCGCGTCAGACCATGGAAATGGAACTTCAAGAGCTCAAGGATAGCATCGACCAGATTCGTTATCTCGCGGATGCCTTTGGAAACGAGCAACTCGAACAACTTCGATTCAGCCAGTACAGCCAAGTGTTCGCGCGTGCTTTCCAGGCTGCGAAGATGAATTCAATCGGTCTTGGACTCGACAAGGACATGCCGGAGCTCCAGTTGAAGGCTAGAGAGCATTACAAAGTTAGCCAGGAGGCGTTTATCTCCTCGCATCGGGCTAGTCGTGCTTGGTGGGGCATTGTGGCACGTAGAGATGCGCTTTCGTTGCCTGTCTGGACGGCTCCAGCAGCAAATTTCTGTATTGCCATCGTAGATGCTAGATACCGCTCATGCTCACAATACGACTTTCTTGGTTTTTCTTGGTTTTTTCTTCCAAATACTGTGTTTTTTAAGAAAGAAATACGAAGCCAGACATCTATGGATGAGAAACCAATAGAATGCGGTCTACGGAGATTTGGCTAGGAAGCAAATTCGTGTCATCCGTTGTTTTTGAGGTGTGCCAAAGCCGATAGCACGATCAGCTGTCACTGCTGAAAATCTGGGATCACGAAGAAAAAATATTTCGACGACTTCAACACACCTCTGGGGCTAGGAAAAATGTGCATTTGAAAGACTAAGCCAGCCCCAGTATTCTTGGAAAAAATCAGGGGGTACCAGTCAAAACTCGTTTGGAGGGAGCAATCCAGATTTTTCAGTTGTGAGAGGGGGAACACTGCCGAATCGTTCTTAACCTCGACTTAAATGAATGTCTACTGGTCAGAATTCCAGTTCGGCGGACTATCAAGATATATACTGTCCGAAAGGGGCTGCTCGTACGAATCTAATGGTACTCTGTTTTGTGTCGAAACACGCGGGGTTGCCTCAAAACTTCAAAATATGTTAATCCCAGATCTATTCTCCGCCTATCTGGCCCTTGACACGCTTGTCAGGTGATCGCATCTTTCTTCCACCACGCGCTTATCCTGACCATCCATCGACCCCCATCCGTTCGAATGCCCCGGCCAGTCAAGTACAGCACGGAGGAAGAGAAACGGGAGGCAGCAAGGGCTTATAGCCACAAGTATGAGCGGACCTCCAAGTGCGTAACCGCTCAATCCTGTTTTGCGATGGCTACTGACAAGGAATGTAGGCGGCCTCGCTGTCCGAGCAGCGTATCGAAAAAAGAAACGTGGTAGAAAACAAATCCCGCTTAGCTTGGAGTATACACCTCCCTTGCCCACGGCCCTTCTCGAACAGGCTTGCTTCTTCTGGCCACAACAGCACCCACTTTTCGGTCGCGCGCTTGCAGGCAAAGTCAAGGGCCTCTATCCTTACGACTTGCCTCCTCCTTACTTCAGCTCTGATTTCGAAGACCCACCTCAGCGCGAATTCCAAGACGTCCGCGAGCTCCAAATTGCAGTCCATGGTCTCAAGCTTAAGCAGGAGCGGGAGCTGGACGACGAATATCGGGACTGGGTGAATACCTGGTCGAGGAAGGATGCGCTCAAGCAATTGGAGGGCGAGCTGGTGAAAGCCACACAGGATTGGGCAAAACTCAAGGAGTTTCACGATAGTTTGGATGACAGGGATGGGTGGGACAGGCGAATCTACCATCGCGAGATGGCACTCTTGCATATGACATGGCAAGCACGACACTGCGCACGGCTTCGAGGGCTTGCCTTCCTTACCTAACATAATGCCATCACGATTCGATTCCTCGCCTTGCTTGCTCTGTTACCGCCGTTATCGTTACAACCACCCTTACGCCGTTACAACCACCCTTACGCCGTTACAACCACCCTTACGCGTTATAACCCACCACCCTTACGCCCAAAAATTCTACCTTGGTTTCATCTCAATGTCCCAGTCAATGACCGACGCGTCGTCTGCGCACGCTATTGTCGACGACCTTTCCAAGGGAGAAATCTACGAAAACGCGTGAGAGAATGTCTTGGACTGCATATTTTGGTTAATAATGATAGCGACAGTGACTATGCAGCGCAGATCCACGTCCTCGTTTTTGCATCTTGACGGCCGTGTAGAGCGCATCGCCATAGCCCGGATGATAGCCGCCAATCCTGCAACGGTCGCGGCCCTCCTCCAAGCTGATTCAATTGAGAGACTCTGGAAAACAGGGGATAGTCAATGGGATGAATGGCTCGACGTCAAAGCCATGTTTAGCGAAGAGCGCTGCGCCTGGTCGATTCTCGAAGCAGGACGCAGTCCCATCGAGGAAGCATCGCTCGATGACGACTGGCTCGAAGTTCAGCACAACGCGGCAGTGGCGGCCTTGGACTACCAGGAGTCATCGTCGTTCAGTCCTGCCTTTGGCAATGTTATTGTCCTTAAACACACACTCCCCGAATCCGCGCACCCCGATTCCGAAATGCTTACAGATGACATCTACCTAACTCTCCCACGTTGCTGCCCTTGCAACTTGGACGAAAGCGAAGTGGCTGAAGCTAAAAGGCTTGTTCAACGGTGAGTCGGAGTCGCTCGTTGTGGACTGGCTGAATAATCTCATACTCAGCTACTATTACGGCGAGCCACCATCGGACTTGGCGTTGTGAAATAGGCGGATTTCTTCTCAGCGTCTAACTAGTCTAGCACGTAAAATAGGCGCCATGGACTCTTCTCTCAGCGTCTAACTAGTATAGCACGTAATAAAATTCTTGGAGCTTCTAGAAATCACAGCGCGAGCAATAGTACAGTACAGTCCTAGTAAGCAAACCAAACAAGCGACGGAGAGAAATGGATGGTAGCTAGACATAGCGAAAGCAAAACAGCAAAACAGTGACAATAGTGTGGACAGATAGGTGATCAGCAAGATGAGCGAGAAAAGCGAGCAAAACAAGAAGAGTAAGCGAGCGGACGGAATGAGCGCTGGTCAATTCAGTGCTCTCCGATCTGGACAAGCTGGTCTTGACAATATCTGTCCCAAGCAGGTTAGAAGTGTGGCCTGGAACGTGAAAAGAAAAAACGCACTGTCGCAGAAGGGTACGAATAACCGGTATATCCATCGGAAGCATATCCACAATGCGCAAGTCGAGTAAATGGTCACTGGGGATCCCGCCAATGTCGACAGTCTTGTGTTTGATTACAACTACTGAGCCCTGGAATGGAGTCAGGCCGTCGCATAGCTCTTGAATGCTATGATTGGGATGGTCATCCTGGTCGTTAGGATTCAGGGTGCGGTCGGCTTCATCATTTCCCTCCTCGTCTCCTTCGGCCTCGCAAAGCCCTGACTCGTGGCTGTCCGTTGACTTGTCGTCGGTTTCCTGGCCGTTCTCGGAAGACGGGACGCTTTTGTGTGGGCAGCTGGTCACCACCGTGAATGCTTCGCCGGGATAGTCTTCAGGTCGAAAGCGCTTCCACCCTTTGCGAACGCAGTCCATGCATTCCAAGGGAGAGTTTTTCCAGACTTCTCCAATTGCGTTCGCAAGAGTGTCGACACATATATCATCGGGGGTGGGAGGAAGATCGTCGTACGCCACAGCTTTGAGAAGTGGCAGCATAACAAGCCGGGGTTGGTTCTTTGTCGGGTAGAAAACGAGATAGCGAAAATAGATGGGCTGACGATTGATGAGATTTGACATCGGCAAAGACTGAGAATACTTTACCCAACGGTGATTGCTCCCCTGGCAGAAGGTGATGAGACGAAGGAACTCGTCAACGTCGTTGTAGTAGGTGGCTGCAGGCATCATGAGTGGCTAAGAGCGAAATATGAGAAGTGGGTGACACGTCACGCTATACAGCTATTTTTTTTGCGAGCTCCCAATCGCGCCGTCACCCTTGTGACTGTTTGGTCACAACATCATCTTACCCGTATGGCACCACCCTCTCACAAACGGGCGGGCCACAGCAGCTGCACCCTTTGTACGCCATCACACGACACCAATCGAAGATCTCGTCGGTGCACCTCCAAATGCTCCCCTTCCCACCACTATCCATCGCGTCACCAACGACAATAGACGTGTCCATACTGAAACCATTCTCGTTTCCCCTGCCTCTCCTGTCAAACGCGCCCCGTCTCAGTTATCTTGAGCGCCAACAACCCGTAGTTCCCCTCCCTGGAGAAGAACCCGAGAGATATGAAATGGCCCAGGATCCTCACACCCCAACAAACGACGCGCCTTCAGCTTCCGCTCGCGCTTCTCAGCCTGCCGTGAGTAAAGTTTCGGACTGCATTTCTGTCGCAGGCTGACAAGCGCCAGGATAAGGCTATGCACGACTGGGCCCATAATTTTCGAGACAAGTTTATCCAAGGGATGTTGTGGCGAGATGGACGAGGTAGACTGTCTAGCTCGTGCGGCTTGTGTGGTGGGAACTCTGAAGACGCGATCTATCGCTGTGAAGTCTGCTATGGCGACTGCATGCTCTGCCAAGAGTGTTGCGTCAAAACCCATGCTACCAATCCCACCCATTTCATTCAAGTGAGACGACTCTTCAGTTCCTGTTGGCGATAAAACTGAACACTTTTGTAACAGAAATGGACTGGCGTCTATTTTATTCGGACTAGTCTTCGTGACTTGGGGCTCCAAATCCATTTCGGCCACCCACTCGGGCAGTTGTGTCCTCTCCCCAGAATAGGTCCCGCTGACTTCGTCATTATCGCCGACAACGGCATCCACGAAGTCGCCATTGACTTCTGTGGGTGTGCGGGGAAGTGACCCGAATTACATGCAACTATTAAAGGCTGGCTATTATCCTGCGACGACAACATCCCCTCGAACGTGCGCTACTTTTGCTTGCCTTGATAGGTTTCATTACTTGTCATTGCGTGCCAAAAACGACTCCCTACGATTTTTACTCGACACTGGAGTCATTGACGGACGGCACGGGGATCAAGCCCCCAGACCGTTATTCAGTCTTCATGCGAATATCTCGTCAATATCGACACCTCTTATTGCTGAAGCGCATGGGACGCGGTCATGATACCTATGGGGTCATGGGAACGGGGTCTGGAGAGCTTGCGCTCCGTTGTCCCGCTTGTCCGCGGCCTGGGGTCAACTTACCGGAAGGATGGGAGAATGCTCCCCCAGAAGACCAGTAATTGCTTTTGTTTTCGCAATTCTAGCTTCTGATGTACTCTTCAGATGCTTATATATAATGTTCATTGCTATAGACGCCTGTTTTCGCCTGAAGCGGCGGGCTATTTCCAACGAGCTGCGAGACCCAGGTCTTGGGACTGGCTGGGCATACATGCTAGAATGGCAACCTTATCGTGAATATCTATCGACAGTGACGGACCAACAGGAGGTAATATATTATTTTACCCTCAGAATGCATTAGACTGACTGACTGTATTCAGATGAGCACCTGTAGCGGGCTTGCGGCCCTTGACCACGCGAATTCCAAATTTTCGCGAGGTTATAGTGTGACCGGTGTCGGCATGGGTGTCTGTGCGCGGCATGAGTTCGTGCTGCCCAATGGAGTGGGTGATTTGCAAGCGGGTGAGCGGTAAGTTGTATTACTTCTACCTTCATTCGAGCTCTCTAACTGTATCTCAACAGTTACAGCAACATGGACTATATCTTTGCCTCTTTTATGCGCCACTTGGATTCCCGACTGCGCAAGCTGATTTCGTATGACATCGTTTGTCAGTGGATGAAATATCTACTCGAACGCTTGGCCAAATTGCCCTCCATGGTCCGATTGTCGCTCGCACTGATGATGGTGCGCTTCGCCATTCCGAAGATGCACATCAAAGGGCACTTGCTGTTGTGCCAGATCTTTTTCTCTTTGCTCTTGATCTTGGGTTCGGGTATGACGGATGGGGAGGGTATCGAGCGTCCGTGGAGTATGATTGGTGGAATCGCAGCAAGCACTCGAGTTTGTGGACCAGGGTCTCGATGGGATCAACTCGATGACCATTGGTCGTTTTGGAACTGGCTCAAGACCTTGGGACTAGGTAGGCAACGCTTTAATTGTCAATTGTCGCCCCCAGGCTTATGGCCATTCTAGCATTACTCTTGCGACGCCGAATGGATCGAGCAATAGAGGAGTGCGAGAAGCAAGAACAGGACTTCGAGACCCTGACTTTGGGTCATGCAGATCGGGCTCTTCAGTGGAAGCAACAGGTTGACGAGTTCGAGGCCGATAACTCCAAGCCCAATCCCTACGAATCAAAGTCCGAGGGTATGGTTTTTCTAATCGGAGCGCTAATGCCTTATATTCAACAGGTATGACTGAAAACGCTGTCCGCAAGATGTTTGAAGAAGAAGAAGCGGAACAAGAGAAAGCTGGGCTAATTCCCATTCATGATGTTTCGCCCACGGAGTTTATTGTCGCCTTATTGGACGCTGAGGCCGACCAGTTTGTGCTCTTCTTCAATTCCTGAATTCACTACTGATGCGTATTAGGCGCCGCATTCGAGGATTAGTCGATTTGAAAAAGACGCGAGGAACATCTGGAGGAATCAGCCTTCGCCGACAGCGTCGGAAGCTTAACCGAGCCATTAAGCGCTTGCGAACGCTACAATCGACATACACCCCCGCCGCCTTGCGAGCCTTGGAAGCACTCAAGCTTCCTCAAGACACTTTTGCCGAACGCGTCCCACTTCTTCCTCCTTCCGCGATTTCACGACTGGAACGCGGTAACGGCGGTTGTCGCGATGGACTAATCGACATTGAACGCGCGTTGCGAGAGGCTCAGTGCCGTTCTGCTTTGACAAGTCTTCAGCTTCAGCTACATGTCAAAGCTCGACTCCTCACCTACAAGAGAAACAACTCGCGGGCCCAGGCGATGAACACTCGTTCGCGAACACTTGTAGACCAGAATGAGCGCAAAATTCTACTCCATTCAGAGAAGTATCAAAATGCTTGGCGCGCTTTGGTGGCACTGGAAGGAGACGAAAAGAGTGTGTCTTGGCGGAAGCTGGAGAAGGGTGATATCCGATGTATGGAGGAACCCGAGGAGGTGCAGCGGGATTACCAGAAGCGTCAAAAGGCCGAGCGTGCCCAGAAAGCCCGCGACGCTGAACTGCTGCGAGCTGGTTTGCCAGTCTTGCCAACCAGCATTTTTCCAATGGACAACGAGGATATGGAGGCTGACGAGGACGAGGACGAGATAGAGGGAATATCCATCGACCGGTCGAATCGTCAGGATGTCGCAAGAGAAGCAAATGCGTTCTTCAAGCACGGGGAGAGCCGTCGGCATATTTCCTGGATATGGAGCAACACAGCTGACACCTCCGAGGCTGTCGAAGAAGGTGCATTACATGCTGCCGTGTGTAATGTTTACTGATGTTTTCTTCCTTGTGTAGCGCTGCGAATTGAGTGGGCCAAGTCGTATGCTCGAATGCGCAGGTGGAAAGAAGAAGTTCGCATTCTTGCTGCCGAGGCAGGACGAATACCTCTGTCGTTTGCTGCGGAAGAAAATGCATGGATCGAGCGAGCAAAGAAGATCAATGTCAGCGAACTGGGGGGCGAACAAGCGGAAGGCGCGATCGCTTACGCTACCAAGCACGCCGACCTGTATCGCAACTTGGCACGACGAGCGGAGGCCACGATGACAAGACCGAAGGTGGCCCGGGGCAAGAAGGGTCAGCGGGAGGTCTTTGAGATCTATACAGCTGTCGGTGCCGATGTTATGCTGGATGAGCGGGTTGATACGGATGACGAAGATGAGCATGGGAATGCTAGCGACGAAGACGAGGACTATGCTTAGTATTATATTATTGTATTTCTTGGACTTTTTAGAAATATATTTTTGTGTATTTTTTGAACTTTTTCCATTGTATTTTCTGAAAATTGCTAGTAAATGGACAATATTGATACCGTGGGACAATTGGGCGCCTTGCCGGGCTGAGCCGCCATTAGCCGCCATCAGCCGCCATCAGCCGCTAGCCTGGTGAGTTGATTAATTGATTGCCCACATGTTGTGCATTGCCCCTCTGGGCTATAACCCAGATGTTGCGCATTGCCCCAGCTGCAAGGGGTGCAGCTGGACTTGCCGGTGGGAGGCGCCAGACTTGCGAGATAGACCGAGAGGAGTGCCGAGTTAGCCGGAGTAGTGCCAAGTTAGATAGATGCTGAGTGCGGCTCTTGTGCCCGCCGTTCGCGGCAGCGCAGCGACTCCGCCTTGAGTTTGCGAGCGCGAGAGATGGTCGTTTCGAGCCTGGGCTTGATACGGCGGGCGGGAGATGGCTGTTGAGTAAAAGGCCGCTGTCAACGGGCACATGCTCGCTTGAGGCTGTACCTTCTTCTCCTCCAAACAACTGCCAACACCGCTCGCGTTGACGCGTTTCCCCGAGCTGGCCCGGACCCGGTGAGGAAGGAGAACTTGGGCCAAACTTGCTGTGGACTTGCTGACCGCCGCAACCTCCTTTTCCCGGCCGTCGGCACGTCTGCTGCCCTCACGTTGACGCGTTTCGCCGAGCTGGCCTGGACCCGATGCGCAAAGAAAACTCGGGCCGAACTTGGTAGCGGTACTGCCACGACCTGCTTTCTGGCACGCTGTGTGACTTGCCGACTGCCGCGACCTGCCTTCTGGCACGCCTCCATGTTTACGGCTGCTGTTGAGGCTGCTGCCTCACCCAGCCGCTTCCCTCGACGACCTAACGACTAGTCCGGCCCGAACAAGGTAAGCCCCATCTCTTTCTCCATCATATTTGCACTCTCTTACCTTGTGTCAAGCGGTGCCCGACTTCTTTGCCTTGAACGCGCTCGACATCGCCGCCCTGACGCGCTTCCCAAGCTGGCAGTTGGCCCTGTGGCCAATCGCCAACAACTAGTGCGAGTATCACCGTGTAAAAGTGACTGCTATCCCTTTGGTTGATCACTAACTGTAATCCAGTAAGCACTAAATCCTTGCCGCCCGCACCCACTCACCTGCCCTGTTAGTCTTCCTCCTCAGGGAGTGTCGCTTGAAGTTGAGCTAAGCAAGTACGGCCTGCTAAGTATCTGTAAGTGCTGTAAATTTTCCAAGTTAAGTCGCGCTAATCATTCAGTGAAGACTCGCCAACATGGGCTTCTCTGCAACAGGACCGCTCGCAACGCGTACCAGTGCCCGTAGGTTGTTTGAATGCAATGGTAAGTTTGATATTGGCGCTGTGGTGTTGTGCTAAATTTCTGGTTAGTGCGAGCTCTTGTAGGGTACTGAGGTACTTGGTCGTCGTTCGCGTTCCAATCAGTCGCGAACGTGTCGAAAGGTGCATGGTTATTTGATTCTCCGAGTTGGTGCTCACTTCTGGTAGCTCCCGTTCTTCACCTATTCGCTTTCTTCGTTGTCAACAAGGCAGACTTAGGTTGGTGCATCTTTGAGTTCAAGGGAGCATGTCGACAGGTGCGTCACGCGTGTTTATCTGATTCTGTGAGTTTCTGACTGACTTGTGTTGTTTCAAGATTTGCGTGCGCGTGTGCACGTGCGCGTTCTCGTTCGCGACATTGCCAGCTGCTATATTGTCGCCCTCGAAGGCTGTTCGCGGATGGGAAAGTTGACGCGTCGGTCCGGCGATGTGGGTTTAGGCGAGAGGCGGGTCGCAGGAAAGTCGAGTTTACGTGTCGCCAGTTTCTCCGGAAAATAACCAGTGCTGTTGGGGGTAAGATTGTAGAGAGAAAATGCTTTGCGACGGCGGGTCTTGATGATGGCGAGCCAGGAAGGATTGGATTGGATTGGATTTTTACACGGCACGGTCCGACTTGCGAACGCCGGTTTCCAGGGATTATCCTGGTGTACAAAGGCTGCGTAGATAGAAATACACCATCGTCCCTGGGCCCTCGGTGGGAAAACGTGGAGCGAAAATGCGGGGCGAGCTGATCGCCTGGGGCTTGGTCAATGGTCTCGTACGGACACGACCGCGTTCTCTATTGAAGATGATGGGTTGGAACACGGAGGGCAGCTGAAATGGAGGAAAGTGTGAGTTTTAAGTTTGGGAGCAGCATTGAGAAACTGACTTAATTCAAGGCAAATTCAAGGCCGGAATGTGTCAGGTCACTTGATGGGGCCGATTAAGTAATCAGTGTTTCAAAACAGTGTAACACTGTGACATGCTGCTTACAGCTCACTGCGGGAGTACAATATTGTCTGCAAAGGTACTAGTATGTAAGCAGCTGGATTTGTGAATGAAGAGCCCCTCACCACCTGCCAGTCCTCGAAGACACCATACCCGCACACAGCTCCGTTGACTCTCCGCCTTCCGTCAGAGTTGGTGAAGAAAAAGTGGGTCATGGGCCGGGCTCCCGATTTGGCTCCGTTGGCCGATCCACAGCCACACGGACAACTTGTCAGAAACAACGATGGCGGCCGCTGCCCGCAAGCTCTTGTACTTCAACTCAAGCGCCGCGGCACAGGGTGCTCACAGTCAATGCCAACTGATACTGCCGCAGTGCCGCAGTGCCAACTAGCTCCGCTAACTCCGACAAATGGCATTGCCGACAAACCGCGGCCAACGACAACAACAAGTCAACTCATCGCCCGGCACGCGCTGGCTCTGGAAGCAACAACAACCGGCAGCTCTTACCCATGAACAAGCGGCACTTTTGGCAAAGTAAGCGTGAGCGGCACGCAGCTTACTTTGCCTCAGTAACGAGTCGGCCCCGTCCTGCCGACAAGACAGCTCCAGCTCGCTATGCCAGACGGGCTCGGTGAACAGCAACAAGTCTAATAGTAACTGCCGTCGCTCTCCCCATCAACCGCAACCAGCGGGATATCGACCGCCAAACCGCACCAAGTCTCAGAACAGGAACAACGATGCCTTCGCTCTCTCCAATCAACTGCACCAGCAGAGCATCGGCACCATTTCCCGCCAAACCACCGCGCCTAAGGGCAGTCTCAGATGCCGTCCTGCCGCGCAATGCAAACCAGCGTAGAACCCGCGGATGGCCTGCAAGAAAACCTCGGCGAACAGCATCCCCCTTTCTGTAAATTAACGTAAGCACTGATTCTAGCACGGGCGCAAAGCTTACTTGTCGCTTTCTGCCCAGCCAGCACAAACCCCGGTCCCCAACGCGCGCTAGCACGACAAGTCGCCAAAACGGCAAGCAACTCCAGCCCTCCAATTCCCTCGCGCCGCGCCATGAAAACGAGCCTGACAATTGCTGTCTACAGCAAGTGAGCGGTCACACTGACAGTTTGTCTGGATTTTTAACACCTCAGTAAGGTGCAGCTTGGTGAGGCGTTTGAACAGAACCATTTGCTGAGGTGTTGGCCAAACAACTCAGCAATTCAACATCCCACTAAGCTGTTTGTGATTAAACTGTGGTCCACAAACACCTTAGGAAGCTGTCGAAAAGTATCTCACCTAGTGAACAGTTTAATAGGGTGTTGGCACTGTACTGTTGTGATTATATCGGAAAATTACACTGGGGGTAAATGAAGTGGAGTTAGAGGCATTCAATACATCTGTTAGAGGTGGTTAAGGCACTCAAAGGAGCTTACAAGTCCATGCAGCCAAATAGAACCTCTGAAATCCTCCAATTTCTAAATTCTATCCTCTTGGGCTGTTTATTAAACAATAAAACTTGCTGTATCAAGCAGGCCATGTTTAGCAGAGTGAACATTCACCTCCATAGTAGACCTACAACTGACTGTTATCTTTTTTTTTATGCCACTACACTTCTCCAAAAAAAGGCAATCACCAATAAATACTACACAAATCCAAGGATGCAGTTTTTTTAACTGAAAATATTATATAAAGGTAGCATAGATAATCATGTACTAATCCGGTCAGTTACAGCCAAATCCACTGAGAAATGCAGTATAAATGTCAACAAAGAATATATACACATGTATCAGCCATCACTGTCATATGCACAGCCTGATCTTGCTCTTGCTCTTGACGCCCATGTCATGATTCTTACCCAGTGCTTCCTCAGTGTCTACTACAGCTCTCTATTCTGCTAGATGACACGACACAAACGAAAACCAACTGCCCGGAAGTCCCATGTAAACCAACGTGCTATACGCCGTTCACACGCGAAACATGGCAAAAGCACTACAAAACCATTGCTACATCCCTCAGACCGCAAATACCGCCGTCCCTCACCTACTCCTCCGCAAGCCCGAGCTCCGCATCAAGCAAGTGATGTTGGTGGCTCAAACATGGCTCAGCTGCTGGTGGAGTCTCAACACATAGTATGACCTCATATCTATCTCATTCAAGCATAAAATTGGATCCAACATGTTTCGTTATCGAGCGAAAAGCCATGCTGATCGGAATGGCATAAATGGTGACCAGATATTTATTCAACCAGTTCTTACGTCGAATCTGCGTGCTATGCACTCCATATGCACTCCAAATACCACAGGATTTTTTTTAGAATTTATTGTGAGTGCTGACACGAAAAACAATGGTGCATGACGCGTCATTTGATGGCACATGACCGCACTCGTCACGTCACGTCACTCCCTCTTCCCCCGCCCTCTGGCGCGGATTGGCTCACCCGCTCTGCCTCTTTCCTCAACTCGTATGCCAGTCGCTTACCACACCCTATGGGCCCTTCCAACCCCGTTTTCAGCTAGATTGAACGGTGTTGTCGCCGTCGTCAGCGCGTTGTTGTCTCCAGCAAGAAGGACGTGTCGCATGGTATCAGAGCGTGTTGGAGCTTAGTGGAACGACTCTGGAATATGGTAAGTGGTTCATATGTTCAATGGAACTCATTCAACTCCCTCATTTGCTCCCGGAATCTGTCCTGTATCTTCGGTATCGACTTCTAGCTGCTCCAAGAACACAATAACTGTCCTCCAGCCATCGACAGCCCTTATCATGGTCTGGCAAGCGGCCACATTGGCTATCCCTCGAATCTTCGCCGCCTCATCGTGGACTCGATCTCGGAGATGTAGCAGCATTCGATGGAGCAAATGGGACCTCGGTTGGGAGTGCTTGGACCTCGGTGCGTCATCTTTCGGCTTTGTTCCATAATTTTGACATGTTCTTTCTCCGTAGCCAGCGTTCTCAAACTTATAGAGGCACCATTCTTCCCTTTCATCCCTGGTATGTAGCTCTGTCCGTCGGCCCAAGTAGGCACTGACCTCTTTTAGTGCCCGCACAAGTCTCGAATACAGATCGTGCTGGTACGTCTTATATTCACATCGACTTGCTTCATCTCACTCCATCCTTTAGATATTCTGGCTGCGACCTTCAAGGTACGTTTTAACTTCCTGTGCAGACCTGCGTCTAACGTCTCCGATTCGATGGTTTACGCTCACTCTCTTACACGCCTCCCGCCATCGACTTGCTTCTCCTCTCGTCATAAGCCCTCGCCGTTCAAGGACTTTTCGTGCGGCGGACTTCATAGATGGGTGGGCGCTTGGTTCGTTGGTCGGCTGGAAGGGCGAGGTGGACCTGGCTAGACTTGAGTTTGGCGTGGCGCGTTGGACGACGTTATTGTATATAGCAACGACTATCTATGTTATGAACCCTTTAGTAAACTGTCTGCCCGCCTGCGATGCCAAACGAGTCGGGCCCGTCGCACAATGCTGAACGAGTCAGAAAACGGGTCTTTTGCGGGGGAGGTAGTCAGTGGTCGTGAATGGACATTGGGAATCAACCTCACCCAGATCTAGAACGACTTGGTTCATAAGTTGTTCCGGCCTCCCTGCCTGCGTTGGAGACGTGTTGTTGGAACGGACTCACAAACACCTGTTAATCCCAATTATCTCTTCTAATTAGAATGGACCACCCATGCGGGTGACCATTCTAATTAGAAGAGATAATATAAAAAGCCCTATGCTGCAATAAAGGGGGCTATAAAACTGCAATATCTCTGGGACCCCAGGCTCTAAGTCAATTCATATGTTATCGCACAAGGTCAGTGTGACATTTTGTGACATTTGTGACTGGCATGATACTATTGATGGTGATCTTATATTAGTAATAATAACACCTGTGTAGCCTGGTACCCACTATGAACTGCCAGGTTTACTGAGACAATAAGATGTGACACTGGTATGTCACATTACAAAGAAGCTATCATATAAGTGTATTCTGATGAATAATAATAAGTGACCTTGTGTGACGAATTTCCCAAAAGGGAAATTTTCGCTGTTTGACTATATGATCATCTGAGGATGTCACAGATCGTCACAAAATCAAAGTTGTATATTTTGACTATACAAACAACTTTCATAAAATGACCTATAGTTGCAGCGGAATAATTGTGGTGGGATTGGCCAGTGATTGGCTGATCTATAACAAATACAGTGATATATCACTAAGTGGATAATCTATCAAGGTGATTAGAGCACTACCAAGGGTGCATAAATGATAAGATCGATATCCTGGACAATCAAATGTTATTAGTATAGCTATATCATCTCATGATGATTCATCACCTACATTGATGCTGCAATATCTCCACCAATCCTGCATCAAGTCAGATGATCCTTGTACTGGTAGGTAGCTCATAACCTAGTGCTCATATGTTCTGATGTAATCATGGTCCTATATCTTGAGACTATGATATTACACTGTTTTTCTCTAGTTTTCATGTTTCAAATTTGATCAGACTCAATGATCACTTGATATCTCACTGGAAAATCCATGGATAAGCCTAATGCAAGCTGTGCTCTGTTGTAATAGATGGCCATCATAGATCTGGGAGCTCCCTATAATTTTAGATATCATATTTACCTCCATATATGACATATATCCTAACACACCAATCTCCCAATAACTGAGTTAGAAGTGAGGGATCCCCTATGGAATAAGGGTAGCAAGCATGAGAAGGAGTCCCCCTATAAGATTGCAGTTTTGACACCACATTATATGCATGAAAAATCTTGTTATTCCCCATTCTAATAATGAATAGTACTGCACATCATATTAGCAATACAACTGTAATCTGCTAGTTGATTATAGATCAAATATGTGAAAGTTGGCAAATGATGTGTATAAATCTATCTACATACTCCGATTGATCTCTATATAGTCTCAGAGGATGCATTGGGATAAACATTCCAAGATGAGTTGAGTGCAGAACTAGTTTACATGAATGGTGGGGTCTATAGACTAAGTACTGGACAGTGAGATGCATGTATGAGGATATTTGGATGTCTAGTAGGACCCCATACTATAATCTATTATGGTTCTGGCAAGTGTTACAGAGGGTAGCTGAAGAGAGGGTAGGTACCCACAGAGCAAAAGAGAGTGTGTTCGCTATTACAACTGGTCAGAAATTAATCTCAAGTATGATCTAGGACATGAATGTAGGATTGTATGGACCCCTAAATGAGCCTGTTCAGCACTTGAATTAACCTCATAGCTATTGTGGATCTCTCACAGTACCATTATCAGTGTTATCTATCCCAAAAATGATGAGTTCACCATAGTATAGCCTTTGTGAATCTCATTGATTTGAGTACATCTACAGGTAGGGGTATTATGCACCTCCCAGAAAATGGTGCCCTCACCCTGTTAGCTTATCTCTATCCTAGAATATATGGCACCCAAGGTCTCAGGGAATTGACTGACCCTCACAGTTGCTGTGTGGTCACAAATAAGTAAAAATGTGGTAGACCATCCTATAGCTCCAGATCAACTTGGATCATGAGATTCCATGCATGTAGTCCCAGGATATCAGCAAAACACTGCTCTACTGAGTATTTAGGCATTCTTGGCAGTGAATAAATGAAGGCAATGATAACAACAAAATTGCTGATAGGGCTCAAGGATAGTAGGATGATATACCTTTCAAATGAACCCTCTCCCAACTTTATCCACTAAGGCTAGCTGGAGATATGGGCTTATCTTTCAGAGGTGATGGAGATCAAAGGCCACTGATGAGTGAATGCATTGCATTCTTGGTGCCACATTCAGTGGTACTTAGGAGGATACATACCAGAGCCTTATGTTGGAGTAGCCAAACTCACACATTGGCCACCTTACATTTTTAAAGTACCAAACATGCTCTTTTCAATAACTGAATAGTCAATATGGGAATCCTATCATATGATGGTAATCAAAATACCTGATCAATCGATGGTCCTTTTGAGACCCTTCCTGCTAGTTCTCAATTTATGCTTTTAGCTTAAGCAGCTATGAAGATAGAGGTCCATCAGTTATATATGAATTAGTGATGGGTCAGTGCTAACACATTTATTGAGCTGCCACTATATGTTACTTAATGAAAGTTGTTTATATAGTCACAATACACAACTTTGATTTTGTGACGATATGTGACATTCTCTGATGATTCCACTGTTGAACTGCAAAAAATTCCTTTTTCGGAGACATGTCATGCCTGTGACCTCATATGATACAGCAGAAGTATACGGAGTTGAAACCAGCTATTGATCATCAATATGTATAGTATAATATAGACATATATGAGAAACCTGGGATGTCACGTCACATACCACTGTCACATACCAGTATCACATCTTCTTATTGTTAGGGTAAACCTGTATAACACGCAGGACAGGGGTTATAGTGCTCAATATAAGATTATTGTTAAGTTACCATACCTTAGTATCTACCAGTCACAAAATGTCACACTGACCTTGTGCGATAACATATGAATTGACTTAGAGCCTGGGGTCCCAGAGATATTGCAGTTTTATAGCCCCCTTTATTGCAGCATAGGGCTTTTTATATTATCTCTTCTAATTAGAATGGTCACCCGCATGGGTGGTCCATTCTAATTAGAAGAGATAATTGGGATTAACAGGTGCTCACAAAGATTGGAGTTACTTAAGTATGCCAACTGATTGCCTTGATAGCTAATTTGCATGCCGGAAAAAAATGTTATCGGCCAGATCACAGATCCGAGTGCTACATTTTCTGAAAATTTTCTATAGCAGAAGATTAGAAATCTTCTGACCCAGAAAATTTCCAGAAGATTCTCAGAAGATTGATGGAAAATTCCAAATTTTCCGTGACAGAAAAATTCTCGGAAAATCTTCAGAAGATCTTCAGAAAATCTCAAATTTTCTGTGCATTTTCTGGGCCGGAAAATACATTAATGTCCGTAGTGTCAGCTACAATATCGTGCGCGAGACATTGCTCTTCGTTGAGCACTTCGAGTAGGCCCTCGTACTTCGTCTGTGGCGTTACCGTTGGGTCCCCCATGTCCACCACGTCTGCTTTCGTGGCCCTCCTGCCGCATCAACATCCATGATTACGTCACCGAGATCGGGTTCCACCAAGCTGCTGTTATCGACTCAGCCGTTCTTTTTCCACGTAATTGCAGCCACTTGTTGCGACCACTGCTCGAACATCTGACAATCCTCCGAGCTCGCCCTTTCCACCTCCCCTTTGTGCGACGTCGCTGCGCAGAGTAACTTGTTTGTCGAAAATCCCCGTTCGGTATGCAATGTCCATAGCTTGCTGGCCGAACAACCCTTCTCGCAACGTGTAGCAGTTCTGCCTGGCTACTTCTATGTCCACCTCCATGAGAGGCCGCAAGGGATCGTCCGTCTCATCGTCGTACGCGTCGACCAGACTTTCGCTTTGCCCCTCGTGGCGGGTTGTTCCGTCTGAGACTTGCGCGGCCTCACATCGCTAATTTGCTGCATCGATGCCACCAGGTATACCCTGTTCTTTCCAAAAGATGTTGGCTACTTGTTATATCCCGTGCATCTTCCGGACGCTCCGAGGGTTATCCTTGGAGCGCAACAGGGTTTTTACGCGATGAAGGTATCTGAGCGTTTCCCTTCAAACAGTTAATCTGCACGCAGACTCTCTCGGACCTGTTCGGACTCTCCGCCCATCAACTCGGATCTTTACCCATTTGGACTTTGGTTTGTTTACTTATATCCGTTAGGCATTCGCCTTGTTCCCTTTGCCTCGTGTATGTCTTCTTGTTCCCCTTACTTACTATGCTTTTGTACTTAACCCGCAGGGAGATCCTGCGGACCACATCGGATCTCCCTGCGAGGTCATATGCCTTATGTTTACCACTTAGTATAAATACTCGTACACTACGATCCTGTACTTCAGTTTCGTTATTAACGTTTCTTGCCTCGCTCTCCGCTCTCGTCCGACTCCTCCCCGCGTTCTAAGCCTTATCGCCTTCGGCTTCTCCGAACGTATCCGCAGGAGTTCACGTATTTGTTCAGACTTGCTTTCGGCCTGCAAGACGTGTAGTCGCTCACTCCGATATAGTGTTGTGATAGCCACTCGGTTCTGCTTCGGACTTTCCGTTACTTCCTTTCGGTTCTTGCACGGCACTTAACACTACTGCCACACCCTGTAATGCAAAAGATGTTGGAAACAGCTAGGCTGTAAAATAAAAATTGATTTTTATAGGGTTAAATAGATAGATATGACTAATATAACACCATATATAGTAAGCTAATCACCTTTTCTTTAGGCCGATGATGCGGATAAACATTAGGACAAGGCTGTAATACAG